AGTATATCATAGTATATCATAGTATATTATAGAATATTATAGAATATTATAGTATATTATAGTAGATTATAGTATATTATAGTATATTATAGTATATTATAGTATATTATAGTATATTATAGTATACTATAGTAGTATATTATAGTATATTATAGTATGTTATAGTATGTTATAGTATATTATAGTCTATTATGTCTATTATAGTCTATTATAGTCTATTATAGTCTATTATAGTCTATTATAGTTGTTATAGTCTATTATAGTCTATTATCGTTTATTATCGTATGTGATAGTATATTATAGTATATTATAGTATATTATAGTATATTATAGTATATTATCGTATATTATTGTATATTATAGTATATTATGTATATTATAGTATATTATAGTATTTTATATTTTATTATAGTATATTATAGTATATTATAGTATATTATAGTATATTATAGTATATTATAGTATATTATAGTATATATTGTTGTATAGCCCATATTGTAGTATAAGGCCAATTGATTCATTACCACGGGACTCCTTATTGTAGCTCTACCATAGTGTAACCCAAAAGCCCTCCTCTAATTGTTCAGGCCCCTTAAGGTACTGCAAGGGGTGCTACAAGGGATCCAGAATACGGGGTTTACAAGGATTCTCTCAGGGTTTGTGGCTTAGGGTTGAATTCAGGCCCGGATTACACCACCTATCTTTCAAGACACCCCAAATTCGAGTCCCGATTAGACCTCTACAAAGGTGAGGTTTGCTCAAAGTCTGACTCAGGCCCTTCATCCCTGAACCCAAGGCAATGCCCTAAACCCTAAACCCTAAACCCTAAACCCTAAACCCTAAGCCATTCTACCGTAGATCCCGCACCGCTGTTCTGCTTTAGGGCCATTTAAGGCCTCGGCCTGAAAAACTGCGACCCTTATGGCTGTTTATTGTTATGATGATGGTGATTGTGAAATGGGTTTAGGGTTTAGGGTTTAGGGTTTAGGGTTTAGGGTTTAGGGTTTCTATTACTATTATTACTATCATTTCTTATTATCATCCAAACCCGAGGATGCAAGTTCGATGAACTTGGGCGGACTTTTTGCCTTCACGGCCTTCAGCATCGTGGACGCCTGGCCCGGCTTATGGGTAGTGTAGGGTTTAGGGTTGAGGATTTAGGGTGTAGGGTTTAGGGTTTAGGGTTTAGGGTTGAGGGTGTAGGGTTTAGGGTTGAGGATTTAGGGTGTAGGGGTGAAGGATCTCCGAGCTGCGAGGTCTGGGGTGCGCCTGTTAATGGAGGGCTGAATGTAGGGGTCTGAAAACTTCGTAAAACTGCCGCAGCATAGTGCCCGTAGAACTGTGCTATGATAATCCACGTAGTCCTTCCAGCCTTAGACAAACTGAAAGAGCCCAAGAAAGGAACCCTATTAAAGCTGCTTCCGGATCTTTCATGCCCGACTCGATGCCATACGGAGGAGCGGAGGCGCGCATTTTGCAGAACTACGCCCAAGCTTTGAATCAAGTCAACCAAACCGCTACAACACTCAATCCTTACCAATGAACCCCACACCCCCAAAACTTAAGCCCAAAATCCAGTATCCTGGAAACCCTAAACCCCTAAACCCTAAACCCTAAACCCCTAAACCCTAGACCCTAAAACCCCTCAACCC